GTAATGGAGGCCTCCACCAGGAGCCAGTTCCTCCCTGGCTGGTATGGGAGGGTTAGTCAACGTGGCCTCCCACCTTGCCACCCGATTGCTTGAGAGTGATCCATCCAAGACTCGTGTCTGTGATAAAAAGCTCTTTCTGGACCGAAACCGTCGCTCTGCAGGTTGGTGTCTGTGTAATGGGTAACGAGGGTCTGTCTCTTGCTTAGTCCTTTCTGCGTCGGTAGCGACATCACGTCAGAATCAGAATCATTATTTATTGTCTTTCAGCATTACATACATGCAATAGACAGTGTCATTTTACATGCAAAATAAATAAAAAAATACATAACATACAATTTGTAACAGATAGGCTTATAACTATAATACTGATTTAAAAATTAACAGAATGCTCTTTATAAAATTCGTCTAGGCTGTAAAAAGGATTTTGGATCAGCCAGTCATACAACCTTTTTTTAAACACTTTAAGCTCCAGAAATTTACAGCTATCACTTAACTTATTAAATAATTTCAAACTTACTATATTAAAACTATCTTGACATTTACTTAACCTAGTATATGGCAGGTCTAGCATAGATTGGTTTCTTGTATTATGGCTATGGATATCTGATCTTAAAACTAATAGACCTAAATTAAAATCTTTTTTCACCTTCACCAAGCAAACAAATATATACAAATTTATCACAGTTTGAATTTTACATTTTTTAAACAAAGGTTTATGCCTAAGCTTTCCATTTTTTTCAAGAGAAACCTTATTCAAAATACGAAGTGCTTTTTTTTGGATTAACAAAACTTGATCTATATGGGCACTATTTCCCCAAAGAATTAGGCCATAATTTATGACTGACTGGAAAAATGCGAAATAAGCTGTTCTAACATATGACTCAGGTACAATATCCATCAGTGATTTGAGCAAGAAGGTGGCTCTAGATAGTTTACAACATACTAACTCAACATGTTTTTCCCAAGATAAAGTACTATCAATTACAACTCCTAGAATTTTAATATTTGTTTTCTGATCCTGGTTGTTGGCCCTTAGAGTACAAAGAAGATTTTGAGTTTTTTCTAGGTTTAAAAGGAGGTTATTTGAGCTGAACCACATCTTAGCTTTATCTAGAGTTTGTTCAATTGTTGATTTGAGATGGTCATAATCTGAATGGACACTTAAAAAACTAGTATCATCAGCAAGTATAATAGTTGATGAGTTGGTTATATTGCTAGCTATATCATTAATTACCAGAATAAAAAGTAGTGGTCCAATCACTGAACCCTGTGGCACTCCGGTGTTCACTTCAGAACAGTTTGACACATTACTACCTGCATCAACATATTGACTTCTCCCACTCAGATATGATTCAAAGAACTTGAGTTGAACACCACCGATGCCATAGTGATTAAGCTTATTTAAAAGAATTTGGTGATCAACACAATCGAAAGCCTTGCTCAGATCACAGGCAGTGATCTGGGCAAGACTTCCGCCTTCAAAAGCCAAAAGGATCTCTGAGATCATTTCTTCTAGGGCATCAGTAGTAGACAACCCTTTACGGAAACCAAATTGGGAATCAGACAATAAACTATGGATATCTAAAAATTTACATATCTGAGTTTTCACTACCGCCTCCATAATTTTTCCTATGACAGGGACTAAAGATATTGGGCGGTAATTTTTCATTTGAGACTTATCACCTTTCTTGAAAATTGGGACAACTCTAGAAATTTTTTGGGAATTTGGAAAGCTACCCTCAGCAAGACAACAATTGATGCAAATAGCAAGTGGCAGGCCCGTTTTTGACCCTATCTGCGCCCTAGGCACAACTAATAGTAGCGCCCCTTTGCTATATATATAACTGGGTGTCCACCAACCGGAAAATGCGGGAGATTTTTAACCAGGAATTATGAGTGAATTTTGTATTTTTACCTACGGCCGCGAGGGATCATCAGAATATTTCCACGATCACGGAAGACGATGATAATGTCCACACGCCCGCGGGAAACAGCAAGAATTTTGCCGCCATCGCGGAAGACGATGATGATTTCCACACAACTGCGGGACATGATTTACATTTTGCCGCAATCACGGAAGACGATTACCATATATTCACGGCCGCGGGAGACGGTTACGATGTCTACATGACCGCGGGAGATACAATAATGATTTTTACACGGCCGCGAGGGATGATCAGAATTATGCCATGATTGCACAAGACGATGATAACAGATAATGTCCATATGACTGTGGGAAAAATCAGAATTTTGCCTCGTTCGCGGAAGACGATTATCTCCATAGGTCCATGGGAGATGATTACCATTTTCCCGCAATCGCGGGAGACGATTACGATGTCTTCACGACTACGGGAGACGGTTACGATGTCTACAGGACCGTCTCCCGGAGACGGGAGATACAATAATGATTTCTACACAGCCATGAGGGATGATCAGAATATTGCTGCGATCACGGATGACGATGATAATGGCCACAGGATCGCGGGAAATGGTCAGAACTTTGCCTAATTTGAGGAAGAGGATGATAATCTCCACAAGACCGAGGGAGATGATTACCATTTTGCCACAAACGCGGGAGGCGATAACTATGTCCACACGTCCGCGGGGAACGATATAATGATGTCTTCACGGCCGCAAGGGGTGGTGAGAATTCGACCGCGATCGGCGCGATCGCGCAAGACAAGTATAGTGTCCTCGCAAACGCGGGAAAAGATAAGAATTTTGCCTCATTCGTGATAAACGATGATAATCTCCTCACGACCGCGGGATATGCTCATACATTGCCTTGATAATGGAAGACGATAATTATGTCTAAACGACCCGACCGTGGAAAATAGTAAGAATCTTGCCGCAAATGCGGGAGACGATTACGATGTCTACACGGCCGCGAGGGATTATCAGAAGTTTACTGCGATCGCATGCAAATACAACTACCAATTTTTTTTATTTTCCAAATTCTTGGCGCCCCCCAAAAAAGCCAATTGCCTCGCGCCCTAGGCACGTGCCTACCGTGCCTATTCGGTAAATCGGCCCTGGAAAGTGGCGTCAAGATTGCTTGTATTACATGCTTTATAACACTTGTTGAAAGCCCGTACACATCTTTACTTTTCGACACTTTCATTTCCGAAACAACTCTGAGCACACTTTCACTGGTCACCATTTCCCACTTGAAGTCGGAGCTGGGCCTTCTCGCATGTCAGATTGATTCATGGGCGATCCCTATGATAGGATAGAGTTTGTGTACTGGGGTTGGTTTCAAACACCCAGTTACAATCCGAGCCATGTCATTGACTGCAATGTCAACCTTTTTTGCATGTGACGATGCATTCCATACTGGTGCAGCGTACTCCGCAGCCGACACACTGAGCGATCCCCTATGTAGCTAAAGCTGAGGTTCTGAGGACATTGTTGAAGAGTTAATGAACTATGTTAAAGTTAAAGAGCCTTTTACTTTTTGAAAGCATCCCTATATCTGGGTGTTTGTTTATACATTTCTCTTAGCTCTCTTTTATTTCGTATCTCAACCTTCGTTATCTTGAACTGGTTCGTATATTTCCTCTGCACTCTATTCTCAAATCCAGCAACAAGTTTTTTTTTTCGGTTCTTTGGACAGTGCACAAGTTTCTGAACCATAGCCTACAGTACTACTGGCCACTGGGATAGGCATGGTATGGTATGAATCAATTCTGGTTTCAACTGACACCCAGCAGCTTATTAGACAGTTTTTGAGACCTACTACTACACCAGTTGACATTTGCATTACTAACCAAAATTTTGGTATGCCGACATACACACATTCAGCAATCAAGAAAAATAAGTATCAACACGTAAACCACTTACATCTTAAACAATTAAGTGATAGTTTGCTAAAAAAACTATTTCCCGATCATGAGTTAAAGTTTTCATGGCATAAACTTATAGATACTCACACAGTTTGCTTATACACAACTTGATTATACACAAAGTGTTTTGCGATAGTTTAATACACATTTTCTGATAACGCAAATCCTTTACGGTGGGAAAAAAACTTAAATTTCAGAGTGAAATAGTATGTAGATGCAAATACTGAAGATAAATACTTTTGTAAACAAATAAAATTGTATCAGAAACATTTAAACGACAGATTGAAACCAGCTGTTAGTTAAACCAGCACTGAAACAGCTTTAAATTGTAAGCGTCGGCTGCTAGACTTTCCAGAAATTAAAACTTAATCTCAAAAACTGAAACCTTAAACTAAAATAATTAATTATTTTGATATTCCCTTCTTTTTCAAAATTAACTTTCTTTCAACACGAAAATCATGAAAATCTGTATAGTGGTCGATTCAGAATTGTGGAATAAAAAATAATATATAAGATTTATCGTCCAGTAAGTAAGCAGTTTAAGTGTAAATATATGTTTCAAGTGTTATTATAGGTGTTAAAATATTCCTACATATATTTTAATTTGTTTTCTGCAAGTAAAACACAAACTCAAACTAACCAAAAAATAATAAATAATAATATAGGTTAATCCGGGATTAGAAGACGGTAGTCCCGGGATTTCTTTGTATTAAAAACCAACTGAGATCCTGGGATTCAGGATATTAGCTCATACATCAAATATCACGTGAATATCTCAAATTAAAATAACAGTATAGCATTAGAGTTTAAACTGGTAGATAGCCATGATTGTAGGCAGCCAAGTTTGATGCATATGCTGAATGTAAAAAAAAAACTTCTGAATGATAAATGTCCTAATCTGATTGTCAAAAGTGTAGAAATGTAGTTATCTGGTCTAATTTTTTGAATCTTAAAAATGTTAAGTTTCTTTGACCTTTCTTTGTTTCTGTATAGCCTTTCTAATAAAAAGTTTTTCTTGCTAATAATAAGACTGTTGAAAAGCTGAAATAAGGTAAAAGTTAAATAGGTTTTATAAATAACTAAGAACATTAATTATAAAAAGTTGTCTAAAGGTTCTTGAGCTATGCCACTAAACAGTGTAAACTCCAAATGTTTCAGGTACCAGGAGCCAGCAGTAGACCAGCTACTCCAGATTGCCACCACCATGGACCCAAGATTCAAGTCACTACCAAACACGACAGAAGAGAGTCGCAACTTGCTGGGAGGCCCCATCAAAGAGGCTCTTGCATCACTTATTGAGAACACACCTCAAGAGATCAAACCTGCTGAAGACTCACCTCCAGAGAAAAAGAAATCAAGGCTATCAGGTAATTGTTGATGCTGTGTAAGAAAACAATACTCTAAAATGTTAACGTTCAAACATATGGTTGTACTTGTACAATTAAATCTTAAATCCCATTGTTCATATTGTTGTTTGGATGTATGATTTTATGTAACCCAATTAGAATAAACAAATGTATTAACAATTGACCTAGGCCCCACTATAAAAACAGGCCATGCTGCAGCGTGGGCAGCGCAACACTACTTCACAGTGGTGGATAGTAGTACTAAAATCTTGCCTTTAAAATCTGACAAACAGCAAGCTCATTTAAGTTAAACATATGGGACTTGGCAGTTAGGGTTGGGCGAGTAGTAATTTTTCAATTTGAGTCGAGTAGTTGCACGTTTAGTAGGCCTAGGCCCAGGGTTTAAGCTGTGGTAGCATTATTAGCATCTTGCTATTCACAACTTAATAATGCTACATTGTTTTGCAGGTTATAGCAAATTTCCTACAAATAAATTTGAAGATGTAATGTTTAAACATGTTATATTAGCCTGCTGGAATTTTTTGTTTTAAATCCTTATTAAACAATAGGATCCTCTTCAAATGGTCCAAAATCGTTTGGTCCAACAGTTAAAAACTCGTTCATTTTGTCCAAAAACGTTTTATCCAAAAGTACATGCCAAACTAGAAATACAATTTTGCATTGTGGAGTAAACTTATGAAATAGACTGTACGTTTCACGGTGGACCATTCGAACGGGTCGTTTTATCCAACACTTTAATACGAGTTCGTTTGGTCCAACAGTATAAACTATTGCGTCCCTCACATTGAAGGCGTTCAAATATCTGCCGTCGTTTACAATAATAATATTAATACAATTTTTGCTTCAAACATGCCGACTTTCTATGTTTAAACGTTAATGACACCATGTTTTGTATTATTCAAACCACTAAAGCGTACATAAGCAGACTTAAAGCTCAATAGTGTATCATACGGTTGGAAATCTTATAAATTAACAGTTTTTATCACATTTGGCAACCTTCTAATATACAGAGTGTATAGAAATTCAGTGGACCTATGTGTTTTAAATGTTTATAATACACCTTAATTTTTATTGTATCATTTACAATGGAGTGTAACGATTTATGTTACATTGTGTGGGCATAGAACAAAGGATAACAATATTAAAGAATTACCATCCCTTTCATTGATTATAATACTGCGATTATAAACATACCAAACTTAACACGAACTTGGCTTTTGGAGTCAATAGGGTACATACATACATAAATAAATGCATACCTCCTCTATTATACAGGGTGTCCCGGAACTCTCTACCAATATTTTAGGACATTAATTCTGGGTAAGAAACGTACCTAAATATCATATTTAAATTGTCCGGAAGTCCTTAGTTACTCACACAGCCGCCATTTTGTTTTTTTAAGTTATTAATTTTTTTCTAAAGAATGGTTAAACATACGAAATGGAAACTTTGCACAAGCATTTATGATAACTAGACAAAGCTACAAAAAAATTATGAAGATTTTTCAAATTCATAAAACAAAATGGCGGTCATTTAAAATTTTCTTTCTTAAATAACTAAAAAACCATTGATTTTACAAAAATTTTAAATAGCCACCATTTTGTTTTATGAATTTGAAAAATCGTGATAATTTTTTGGTAGCTTTGTCTAGTTGTCCTTAATGTTTGTGAAAAGTTTCCATTTCGTATGTTTAACCATTCTTTAGAAAAAAATTAAAAACTGAAAAAAACAAAATGGCGGCTGTGTGAGTAACTAAGGACTTCCGGACAGTTTAAATATGATATTTAGTTATGTTTCTTACCCAGGATCAATGCCCTAAAATATTGGTAGAGAGTTCCGGGACACCCTGTATATATAGATAGAGTTAAAGGTTAAGATAATCTTATATGTAAAAAAAATTTGGTTTTTCTTTTTCGAGTTCGTTTGGCTCTTCTGCCCGACTGATTTTCATGATTGAGGTCTCAAATTGAAGGTATGCATGCACAGATTTGCCATCAAGCATCGGCTTATAATTATCTATAGTATCACTCGGTTTATACGTAAACAAAATTTGCTCCCCATGTATTTCTTAAGGGAGTTAAATTTGGATTTTCTTTGCCAAGTTCGTTTAGCTCTTCTACCCGACCGATTTCTATGATTGAGGTCTCAAATTAAAGGTATGCAAGCCCAAATTTGCCACCAAGCATCAGCATCTATTTATCTATAATCCCATTCGGCTTATACGTAAACGAAATTTGATCCTCATGTATTTCTTGGGAGTTAAATTTGGATATTCTTTGCCGAGTTCGTTTAGCTCTTCTACCCGATGGATTTCCATGATTGAGGTCTCAAATTGAAGTCATGCACGCAAAAATTTCACATCAAGCATTGGCATATACTTACTTACCTACTGTATTACTCGACTAAAAAAATAATTTGATAAATTTTTGAATTCATACATCAATTTAAGATGTATTTTACTAGTTATAATTATATAATCCTATATATTTTGGTCTAAGAGCTTTCAATGAAATATCGGTTTTTATTTAAGCGATTAAGATACTTATTGAAAATCCGAACAAATCGGTAATCTGAACTACCTACATCCCCTATTGGTTCGGATTTTTGACTCTCTACTGTAATTTAAAATTAAAACACATTTCACTGAAGCCCGGTATAGCCTATTTGGTCTTTCATTAATAAACTCACCACTTTCTATGCTAAATTACAGTTCAAAATGTAGTTGTCATGTTTCTGCCACCAGATTGAAAATTGCACAATCAAAATCACAATCAGAATATGTTTATTTTACTTTCTAATAAACTTGCAATAAACAAAATCAATTTTATTTTAAATTACAAATTCACTTCAAAGTAAAATCATTCAAAACTGACATTGACATAACTCCACTCCAATCCATTGTTTTGTTGTTATAGATTGACTAATTTAAATCATGTTTATGTAAACTCATTAGAAAATTATTCTTATAGTTTGTTTACGCCACTACCACAGTTGTAAAAGTACAAAATTATCGTCCATCTGGCAACACTGAGTTTAAAGTGGAACTAGATCTTTCTGCCGAGACAAGACTTAATGAGATTGTGTCATTCCGATGCATCGATGTTCCTTGTAGTAACTTATCGGCTTCTAAAACTAAACACCAATACCAATACCGATTAAAGTGAAAAAATATTATGCAATAATAGCTTATCTTCAAGAATCGTCTGCCTATATCCTATGATCTACTAGTCACGAGACTCCCTTGTTGACTATCGACTACTGTAACTCGATAGATTCATTCAATGCTTTATTTCGTTTAACTTACTGTATCGTTATTGAGACGTATTGTTGACTGTTGTGAGATTGAAAGTTAAAGTGGTAGTAGTCCTCTTGCTAGTTCTGCCGAATGATGTTTGTTGAACATTTGGTTTACGCTGGACTAGCCTATATGAATTTAGAATATTTAGATTGTTGTTTTTTTTAGGAATGGGGATTAAATAAGACATCAACACAAAACAAATATCATTTATTAAATACGGGTGTAGAAAATCGTGAAATGGCACTATTTATAACTAATCCACCCAAATTTTCGAGTAGTAATTACTATTCGACTTGAGGTTGAGTATTTTGAAAAATTTGAGTACTTGCCCACCCCTAATGGCAGTGAATATACAGTAGACCCCCTCTTAACCGACCCTAATGGGACCGGACCTAGGTCGGATAACTCAAAAGGTTGGATAAAACGGACAATCCCTAAAATCATAACATAATGAATTGCTATTCATTTGGAATTATATAATAATTATTTTGAAGTCATACTTGCATTATTTATAAAATAAACTACTCTTATCTCCTTTTTCATATTGATAGAAAAGTCACAAATAAACACAAAACACAGTTAAGTCAAATAGGCTTACTTTCAGTGGAATATATCATTATATTACTAGGCAAGAGTCAATAAAATTCCTAATTTAATAACTTTAATACTGTAATGTATTAATTGATGCTTTCCAAATACATTAATATAGTACAGAACCTTTTGTCAACATTAAAGATACAAGCGACCATTTTGTTACAAAACAGGACGTTTATTTATAGCCTCTCACTGGAGGCTCCAGGCACAAAAACTATCTTGACCTTGGAGTTGTTAACCCCCTTTCCCTGCCTTCCTTACAAGTTGCGTTGTTTGTTTACTCTGGCGATAAGATAATCAGTTCTCAAAATCGTAACGCACTTTATGATGTTATAAATTTGCCGCACAGATAACAAATCAGATCAGATGTGCTCGAGCTACGAACGATGATGACAAACTGACAATAGGCTATGCTATATTTTTTGTGCTCAACACAAAATAGCTTATTGTTAGTCATATCCTGTGGAGATAAGCGTATGGTTCAGTTCTCATCGCCCAGCGTGGAAGCGGAAATGCCGAGATTCCTAGAAAGCGGCGGTTAAACCGAGCTGCTCTCAAATCAAGGTCGGTTAAAACAAACTGTATTATTTTACGATCGAAGGCGGATAATCCGATTATCGGTTAATACGAGGTCGGTTAAGAGGGGGTCTACTGTATCCACAAGTGTGACGTCATGGATCCTGCTGCATGGCCTGTTTGTCTAGTGGAGCCTTGGTTTGACTGTCGAAAGTTTTCTGTCGAGTCTCAAACATGACTATGTCATTAAATTGGTAAAAATAGGCCTAGCCAATGTTTTGCCAGTTCGACATGGTCATTTTTCAGCAAGTCAACAAATTTTAGATTAGGCCAGTTTATTTTTAACAGGCCACATATAAATATAACGCAATGAAAACATAGGCTAACAATACAACCAAATCCATCTGGATGTAAAAAAAGTTTAGTTATACAGTAGAGTCCCGCAAATTCGGCATAAAGTGGACTGGGAGGGTGCTGGTATGTGAAATGCGGGGTTATCGGAAACTAGAGTTAAAAATAAGAACAATAAATTTTTAAGCTTTTAACCACCTTTTTTAATCAGATTTATATTACAAGTCAGTATTAAGTCATCAAATATAGTACAACAAATTTTTAGTACGAGTTGCAAATGATTATACTTGAGCTGGCTTGTGTTCATGTTTAACTCGGACTTAAATAATCACTTATTTTCTGAGCCAGATGATGGCCGAGTTATCCAGACTGCCGGGTTATCGAGTACCAAGTTTGCGGGACTCTACTGTATAAGCAAAACTAGAGTAGTATGTATCTGTTCTTAATAATAGAATTACTTGTTAAGGATAAAGGATACACAACTAACTCACCTGAAGAAAGAGTCACAGGAAGTTAAAAGTACACAAAATGTATTTCTTTTTTTATTTATTTAACTTCCTGGGAATCTTTCTTCAGATGAGTTAGTTGTTCATCCTTCCTTACTCTTTAACAAGTTCTTTTTCCTTCAAAAATTAACATTTATCACAAAATTAACATTTTAGCGCTGTGGCTGTGACAAAATTAAATTACCTTTGTGACTGGATTTTTATTGTGTAGGGATGATGATGCTGTTGGGAGAGGTGAACACATCGAGTGGAAGCTGCTCAGAGATGACGGCTGTGGACCGAGCCAGTCTAGAGATCATACAGTACCAGTCGGAGCAGACAGCCTCACTAGACCAGTGTCCTGTAGTGTGGTGGGGCAGAGTAGCTGCCAAGTGTCCCTGGCTAGCTAGACTGTCACATCACTACATGTGCATCCCAGCCACAGCCTTACCTCCAGCACGTCTCACCATGGAGGCCCAGGTGACATATGACGTGCGACGTGGCAACCTCACACCTGAGATTATAGACAGACTCATCTTCCTCAACTCATCTAGTCATTAGACACATGCTAGCTAGGGTATATCACACCAGTGTTGATTTGTTTGCAAATTGCCTAGTTTTTTTGTTTTCTTTTAGAATGAAGTGGTCTTTTGTTTCTAAAGAGGATTAAGAAAGGATGCTTCAATATTAGGTTTTGTGTAATAATACTGATTCTTTAATTCTGCCTTTTCTATGTATCCCAATCAACAGAGATTATCAAAAATGTGTTTTTTCTATTACTAATTCTTACACAATTATCATTTCTTTAACATAGCCTACATTTTTATAATGTTACTTTTATCATTCAAAAGTAATGTCATATGTCATAGTACTACTTTGGTGCAGTATACTCTAGTTTGTTGTAAATACAAAAAATGTATATTTTTACTTTTTAGTTTTTAGTCTACTGTTCTGAAAATAGGGGTTGTAAAATTTAACCTGTAATATTTTAGATCATGTATTAATGATAGATTGAATTAGTTTTTTTTAAGAATCCCTTTATTTTAAAGAGTTATATATTATATTATTTTATATATAATTTTTGTTATCTTAATAGTTTGATGTGATACAGTGACATACTGTACGATGTTAATTTCATAATAACTTAACGTATATCTCTCCAATACACATAAAAATAAACTCATGTTCTAATATGAAATTATTCTTCCTGTTAAATAAATTTATTTAGTCATGATGATATTGTCGTTTACTGCTTTTCCAATTTTCTTTTACAACTAAAGACCTACGTTAAGATTAAGCATAAGTTATGAAAGTCTTAAAGGGTGACCGAAAATAACCAGACATTTTAAAAATAAGCGATAGTCAAAGGCATTACTCATCTGTTTTTGGGTCAATTATAACATTAGTTATATTAACAATTTTGTAAACCCTTGCCTTTTAACAAATACACTATTTAATAATGCTCTATACACAATTTAATACTTATAGAAAACAACTAGTGTACCTGTTGCTCAAATTCGAGCAATTGCTAAGTATTACAGGCGTTATTTTAAAACAAATAACATCCGTCATAATTTCTTATGACTTTAAAATAGGCTATTATATTATGGAAATACTCAAGATGTACATAACAGATCGATATAATCAACATTCATTGTGTATAGTGTTTTCTACAAATAACCTTACTCATAGCCGCATTAGGTTTCCAGACACATTATGTGTCCTAATGCCTAACAGCACGACTCCCTTCCCCATACCGCCCTGAGCGATAGGGATCCTTGAGATTCGCTCTAACCTTTACTCTCCCCTTCATGGGCAAGTTTTCATTCCTTTTATTTCTTAGTTTTTGGTTGTTTCTTTTTTTTATTTTAATGCCTGTATGTAATCCTGGTTTTTCATATTTCCCTAGCTACTTTTCTAAACGTCTCAATTGTTTCCTTGTCACTCATCATGTGTTATTTTTTCATCTCTTAGACCTATCTTATCCAATCCTATCTTATTCCTGTTTCTCTCCTATTTGTCTCCTGTCTGAAGTGAACAATTTATAAATATCTATGTGACTCATGGTTTTTATTTCTCCACATCTACATACTTCCTCTTCTACCATGTGAAATCTTCACAAATTTGGCTTTTGGAGAGCACATTAAACCCAACACGGAAAGGTGCTTGCTGTATTTGGCTCTCAACGGCAATATTATTATTTGTATTTCGTTCGCGTCTACCAGTTAAATTTCGTCGGCCTCCAGGAGGAGGTCCTGGTCAACGTCTTATAGTCTCCATTATGTCGAACGTTTTTTGGTTATGTTTTGATTTTGTGCAAAATTTTAGTATAACCAGCTGTTTCAAATATTAGTGTCAATTTCAAAGTATTCATCTATTCAAATGTAAACAAACATTTTCTCCCTAAGAATAACATGGAACTTTAAAGGCCACTGGGGCAGAGCCCTGATGGAATTTCAAAGTTATTTTGTTTGATGGCAAAACTACATGCTAAGACCTTTCTAACGACACTTTGGACATGGTGATCGGTAGCACCACTACTCCAAAACAATTATGACAAAAATATGCCTAGCTTATTAAATATATAGATGTCAGTCAGGTGAAGTCCACTTTCATTTGTGCAGGTTATAATCGAAAGAAGGAGAAAATCATATTGGTTTGGACTGCTTGCCCTAAAAAGTGTTTGCGTACTTACGATAACTTAACTACTTGGAAAAATGCCACAGGTGTAGAGAATAAGAAAAAAGCCATGCACTGAACCAAGGAAAGTTATATTGCTTTTGGGATATTTTAACTTCAGGTTGCCTCAGACCTTAACAGTTCAGAGGCCGGAGCTTTGGGAAGTAAAATTTAAATTGGCCACTATGAAAGGCATTTTTAATAAAAAAAAATCAAATTCAATTTATTTTACATTGTCTGGTTCAAAACAATCAAATAAGATAGTTATCAAAATCAAGCAGAGTTAGTTATGATAATGAGTTATGAAAACACTAAATAAAGCAGAGTTATGATATTTTGCTGTAAATCCAATTGATTTTATAAAGAGGTCTTTCAATAGTGAGATAGAGAATCGGTGATATATCAAGACAAGAGACATTCTATTTCTGTGCCAGTCACACATTTGAATCTCAGCCAGTAGCCTATAATGTTTTCTTGCTTATCAAGGAGTGTAGCGGATAAGGTGTTTTCTGAATTCCAGGTAAAATAGGTATTGGCTTTAATTGAAAGAGTTAGTATTCTTTTTTTTAACTGAACTTATAACTAATTATTTTATCATACAAATTTGTATAGTCTTAATGAAACAATAAATATAGGCCTACTTAAAAATCAAAATTGGTGAATTTAAATACATCAATCTAAAGGTTATAATTTCAATAAACATTCCACAACATGTACGGGATTGACTGTCACAATTAAAATAATAAAACATAATAAAATCTAATATGGTTTGGTTTTTGCACAAAAACTAATATCTCGGTTGTATATAAAGTCCCGCACTGGCTTAATATTTTCTAAACTACAACAGATAAATCAATAAGATGTGGTACATCAACACCACACCTAAAAATATTCTTTTTTAGGAACTATCAATTTTCTGTCATATCATGGGGACGTCCCACAAGGAGTCAGAAGGAAATCTTAAATAGAAGCATTGGTTGATATTTACATCAAATTAAAGACCTTTACTAGCAGAATATAATGCCACAAATTTGAACTAAAACGGATAATTGAGTAAAAATGGCAGTTCAAAGATTTCTTGAATCTACCATTATGAATCTTTGAAAAACTGCAATTTTTTACTCAGTCGTTCTTTTGAGCTTGAATTGGCGGCATTGCAATCTACTAATGAAGACTTTTCATTTGATGTGCATATTGACCAATGCTTACGTAACGATTTTCTTCCGATTCTTAGGGCTGTGCCGCCCTGAGGAGTTAGCGTATAATAGCAATGCAAATTAAATGAATGAAACCTTTGAAAACTTTGAACCGCTGTCATTTTTGGCTTCGTTGTCCGTTTGAGTTCAAATTTGCGGCATTCTATTCTGCTAGTAAAGGTCTTTAATTTGATGTAAATATCATTCTATTTAAGATTTCCTTCTGACTCCTTGCAGGACGTCCCCATGTTATGACAGAAAATTGATAGTTTCTTTAAAAAGTAGATTTTTTGGTGTGGTGTTGATGTACCAAATCTTATTGATTTATCTGTAGTCGTTTAGAAAATATGTTAAATAGAAGCATTGGTTGATATTTACATCAAATTAAAGACCTTTACTAGCAGAATATAATTCCACAAATTTGAACTCAAACGGATAATTGAGTAAAAAATGGCAGTTGTTCAAAGCTTTCTTGAATCTGCCATTTTGAATCTTTGAGAGACTGCCATTTTTTACTCAGTCGTTCTTTTGAGCTTGAATTGACGGAATTGCAATCTACTAATGAAGACCTTTAATTTGATGGTCATATTGACCAATGCTTACGTAACGATTTTCTTCCGATTCCTAGGGCTGTGCCGCCCTGAGGAGTTTACCGTATTATAGCAATGCAAGTTAAATGAATTGTACCTTTAAAAACTTTGAACCGCTGTCATTTTTGGCTTCGTTGTCCGTTTGAGTTCAAATTTGCGGCATTCTATTCTGCTAGTAAAGGTCTTTAATTTGATGTAAATATCATTCTATTTAAGATTTCCTTCTGACTCCTTGCGGGACGTCCCTATGATATGACAGAAAATTGATAGTTCCTTAAAAAATAGATTTTTTGGTGTGGTGTTGATGTACCAAATCTTATTGATTTATCTGTTGTCGTTTAGAAAATATTGAACTGGTGCGGGACTTTATATATACCCTGAACATGTAATATGTGTGTGTAGAAAATAATGTCAGACTTTAACAAATACAAGGACTTTATCCGCAATCCATTTACTTTGTTTGCAATGGGGAATTTAGGCAAGACGTAAAAGTTAACAAATGCAAGGACTTTATTTGCAATGTGAAATGTATACAAGACGTCAAAGTTAACAAAACAAGGACTTTGTTTGCAATGGGGAATTTAGACAAGACATCAAAGTAAACAAGAGTCTTAATAATTTAAACTAAAGAACAGGACTTTTATGGTAATAAGTAAAATACAAAGAACAAATTAATAGTCAATGTGAAACATTACATGGTGAGTGATAAATTTAAAATTTTTTACATCATCAGTCTAACAATAAATTTAATGTCTTGAAATTAAAATACAGTAGAATCCCGCAAACTCGGCACTCGATAACCCGGCAGTCTGGAAAACTCGGCCATCACCTGGCTAAGATAATTAGTGATTTTTTGTGTCCGAGTTAAACATTGACTCAAGCCAGGTCAAGTCATATAATTCACAACTCTGTACCAAGGATTTGTTGTACTTTCTGATCACTTAATACTGGCTTTTTATATAAAAAAGGCGGTTAAAAAGCTTTAAAATTGTATTGATCTTATTTTTAACCCTAGTTCCCAATAATCCGGCATTTCACAAACTTGGCACCCTTCCAATCCACATTACGCCGAGTTTGCGGGACTCTACTGTACAAGGGTTTTCTAGGCTCTGCAGTTTTAAAATCAAATAAACATGGACAGTTATAAGTGGCCTCAATAGAATGGCATGTTTTTTATGTATTTGTCAGAATAGTATTTGGCATGTGCACAAAAAAAATTTAAACGATGGAAAGATTTTACGCCATACTACACTGTTTTAACAAACTTCCCAAGCAAGGATTTAGTCCAGAAAACAGCTGTTTGCCGCCTGCTTAATCAAATGGGGTTTCATTACGTACTACTGTACTGTAATGAATTTTTACCGGACACCAACCAGCTGATTGTATTATATTTGGCAATGAGGGGTGATTACCTCTAGCCTCATTACCTCTAGTTATGAGTAGTGATTGTTAGTTCTTTAGTACCGGTACATACGTTCAGCATTCTAGTGCAGCTCTAATTTGTACAGATTTTTATTGTTAAGTTAGCTTAGAGTAGTATGGCGTAAAATAACGTACGTCACTCGTCCAAAATGTGTTTACCGGACTCTTATGGTAATCTCGCACTCGACTTTGTTGCCCACGGGAACGGTCACACTTGTCCGGTAAACACCTATTTAGCGTAATATACGATATTTAACTATTGACTCAATTCAAAAGTATTGATCTGTTCAAATGTAAAGAAACCTTTTCACCATAAGATCATTTAACCCACAAATCATTATGGGGCAGAGCCCTTTAAAATTTTGGCAGCTATACCCAGCAGCTGCTTGGGTCTGTTTTTTAATAATAATGTGATGAATGTCAACTTAAAAGGCCATCCAACCTCTGTGGTTTAATGGCATTGACGAGAGACTTAACATGACTGCACATAAAATAATCCATTTATGATGTGAGATATGTAGCTGTGAAGGCTAATTGACAGGTCACAAAATTGTATGTTTACCAATTGTTTGAAAATCAATTAATCACTAAATGGCAACTTATTAAGTTTATTGAATCTCCTTCCTTTAGTAAAAACACAAGACAATTTTTTTATTTCAATTAAGAAACAAAATTTAACAAAACACCCTATATACACTGAACATTATAACTTATGTGTGAAATTATAGTTCGGCCGCTTAGAAAGCGACCTCCTCCAGCATTGGTTTAGCATTAGCGCGGAGGTTGTTTTCTAAGCGGCCGAACTATAATATCCATCCTCTCCTTTTCAAATCAATAGTCTTCTGTATGTTACAGAAAACATTGAGCTGTTTTCAGAACTGTCCTAAGCTCTTTGCAACCGAGGCTTCATTTGAAACTAAGGTAACTATATCAATTCACAGCAAAGAATATTTGTAATGGTGTACTGCAGGGATCCTCACTAGGATTTATCAGAGAACCTATTGGTTTGCATAAAATTTTCCTCAGGGCCACAGCAGTATGATCGCTTTAGGGGGGTGAACATCCAAGGGGTCTGGAGGGTATGAAATACTACTGAAAAGGGGGGGGTCCGGAAAAACAATTGAAAATAAGCCTAAAGTGTGATTTTTAACCACCTGAAACATTAATATCATATAAAAAGTTTTTTTCAATTCTTAACAGTCCAGGGCTGCAAAAAATCATTCTGAGGGTTTACAATACTACAGTAGACTCCCTCTTTTCCGGACACCTTTTAACCGGACATCGGTTTAACCGGACTACACTCGACGGAAATGACATCTCTTTAACCGGACAATTTTTATGAGCACATTGGTTTAACCGGACTAGATCGGCAGGAAGTGGCCGGTACTGAAACGATTGTTCTCGTGGGAAAGATTTGAGAACAGTAGTCAAATGTCTAAATACACAATGCTCTCCTAAGTTTAAGTCGAATATCACTGTAAACGGTCCGTTTTAATGAGTTTTTGGGGACGTCGGCTTAACCGGAAAACCCATTATCCGGACTGGCCTCGGTCCCTAGGAGTTCGAATAAGAGGGAATCTACTGTAGTTATTGACTAGCTATGCCCAGTCATAACACTGCTAATAATATTTACCCCTTTACTTTATTATATTTATGCTATACAGGGTGACAAAAAAGTCTAGAAACGGCTTAATATCTTTTTAACTAAATCCGTTAGAAAATTCAAACTTTTCACATCAACTTACATGTATAAATACCCCCGCCGCAGCAAACCTGCAGACTAAGCGAATTTCCATTTGACTGATTGGATTTACACTGAAATGTCTACTAAAAAATATAACATTAATTACCTATTTAAATAGAATTAGTTTAACAAGTACTTAGGTTTGCTGCATCAGGGAGGGTAAAACTGTTTTTTTTTTTTTTTTTGTAAAATGTTAATAGTTAGTAAGAAATAAAAACATTTTCCAAATTTGATCAAAATAGGTTCATAAACAAGCAAACTACAACAGTTTACTTATCCTCCATAAGAATAACATAGGAATTTTAAATTTACAATTTTTTGGAATTTTCTCCGTAACCATTAGGCGCATAATAACGCTTTAATATACTAAATTATTTGTTTTTTTAAGCTCTACAAAATGGTTTGGAAAGAAATTGCTAAATTTTATGTTTTTTGGGTCAAAAATGGGAAAAACCAATTTTTACCCTATAAAACGCCCCGTAAACCCCCGTTCCCATGGTCCGATCAAGCTGGATCGCGAACTCGTTCGAATAAACGTAGGTTTACACGTTTGTACCAAATTTCATCAAAATCGGATCATTTTTGCTCGAGTTATCGTGCTAACGGACACATATATATATAAATATATAAACATATAAATATATAAATATATATATATATATGAATTTTAACGGATGGTGTTTTTGGCCTCTAGGGACCTCAAAACGAAAAAAAAAATCGGTCCCGCGTCCAGGTCTTACCATGAATACTACGGTAATAGCTTATTCCCTATATGGGAAATTCGCTAAAACTAATTTTTCCAAGCATTTTCGTGTTTTTACTTCCACCAGGGGACGACCCATGAGGAGTAGGTACATAATCTTTAATGTAAGCATAGGTTGATATGCACATCATTTCAAAGGTCTGGTCAAGTGGAGTCCATCGCCGGAAACTGCATCTCAAAAGGTTCATTTGTTACAAAATGGCGGCATTTCAAAGTTCTTGTGGAATATACCTTTACAGGCCTTAATATTGGTAAATACTCGTATTAAACATCATCTTGAGAGCTGAAACTGTATTATAAAGTCAACTAGCCCATTGACTAAGTTTATTCAATCTTCAAAACAAATTTAACCGGGTTTCAGATTTCCCGGCTAATTTTGACTATTAGTTTTTACCATTACCAAGGCCTGTGCAGGTATATTCCGCAAGAACTTTGAAATGCCGCCATTTTGTAACGAATGAACCTTTTTTGACGCGGTTTCCGGCAATGAACTCCACTTGACCAGACCTTTAAAATTATGTGCATATCAACCTATGCTTACTTTAAAGATTATGTACCTACTCCTCATGGGTCGTCCCCTGGTGGAGATAAAAACATGAAAATGCTTGAAAAAAGTAGTTTTTATACATGTAAGTTGATGTGAAAAGTTTGAATTTTGTAACGGATTTAGTTAAAAAGATATTAAGCCGTTTCCAGACTTTTTTGTCACCCTGTATATTTATCCTATACTCTAATACGAGCAATGTTTGCTTGTATGTATGCTTGCTTGCTTGCAGAAAAATCTCAAAAATGGCTCCGACGATTTTTTTCAAATCTTGTAAATAGTTTATTTTTGGCCTAAAAATGAGTTTCATGCAGTTAGAACTGCCAACAAAAATCTAATTACATAGAAAAACGAAACTGAAAGTCAAATTTTTTTAACATTAGGCTTATGGGTTGCTAAGTAACCATGTTGGTTGAATTAAATAACAAGGAAAAAGTAAACAAAAGACTTGAAGTTGTAGCATGTGTTCATAATAAGCCAACTACCCACAGTATAATAGCACATTACAAATACAGTACAAAAGGAAAAGGGAAAGCATCACTTGTTACTATTGAGGCCAGGGGTGCCCAGAGGGGGGGTACTGTGGCGCGTTTGCGCCACAGGAATTTTTGGGGGGGGACTTTTTTGAGGGGATTTTGGGGGGGATGTTTTTTGCTAGCTGTCATAATGAATGAAAAATTTTGTATAAGCAGCCCGAAAAAGTGTTTCTAAGTAGCTCACTATCAACACCAACAACATTTTGCCATTCGTAATTAAGATTTGCTTCTAAGAATGGTAAAAACGCACCTTGTCAGACAATCCTAAAAATACCAGTGTCAGTGTTGAATTTGATTTGCTACATATGTTTTGGTGGTTCTTTACCTCCACCACACAAAACACGAATCGATTACAGATAGGCCTATCAATTCACGCGTATATATTGCCGTCGTCAGAACTGGAAGTAAACTGAATCAGGTTCAGGTTATGACGGACAGACGTGGTCTCTGGATTGTCGTCTGCATTGTCACCAGCTGATATAGGACTATTGTAGTGACTGAGAAGAGTGTTAAAAGTATAATGGGATTCATAATTAATTGAGTGTTTTCACTCAAAAATTTTGCGCTGTCCCTAGTTTTATGTATTTATATATTTCAAACTCCTCAAAGTATTTAATAAGTTTCCTTTCGTGCAGTACTGTAGAATTTCGAGACCATAATTTATATCCAGCAGATAAATTGGTTATTATTGTCAATAATTTTAAATGGAAAACTCAATTATGAATCCCATTATATTTTCAACACTCTCCTCCGTCACAACAACTAGTCCAATATCAGCTTTTGATAACACAGACGACAATCCAGAGACCACGTCTTTCCGTCATAACCTGATTCAGTTTACTTCCAGTCCTGACGACGGCAATATATACGCGTGAATTGATAGGCCTATCTGTTATCGTTTCGTGTTTTGTGTATAAACAGATTGTCTGACAAAGATGCGTTTCTACCATTATTAGTCCTAAAAGGCAATCCTGGGGCTATCAAAATTAATTATAAGATTACTTCGTCACAAAAACCTTTTGTGGGTATTTTGCCTGGCGATTTTTGTAGAGTAAAATCGAGTTTTTGGAGTGAGTTGTTTGGAGTGGCGGTGTTTGTAGAGCCAGGGAGTGGCGAGCAACAAGTCTGTCTTATTTCGTGACTGCCTATAATTTTGAAAAAAAAACTTTTTGCCAAAGTATTATTAATGCATTTTTAAAGCGGTTTGATTTCTTAAAATTCTTCTCTGAGATTCTTTCTCTGTAAAATTTAACGCCACCTAATATATTGTACAGTTACAATACTGTGTTGGAGTAGAGTAATTCACCTAGTATATTGTTGTACGTTTTGAAGACGTTGTCTATTGCAATACTGAACACATGTTAGCTGACAATAGAGATTCTGAAATGTAAATTGAAACACTTCTAATTCGTCCATTAGTTAGATATACCTAATGAAGTATTGTTAAATGTTGTTCGTTTCCTATTTAACATTTAATTTTTATTATCAGCAAGTTTGTTTTTCTTTACCTCAAGTTTACTAAATACTAAATTGGAATGCTTGTTTTATGAGGTAAAGGGAAAATTGTCAGATAAATTGGTGGGGGGAGGGTAGGTTTAAATAGACGGCAGCATAAATTGGGGGGGGGGAGAACTACTCCTTTGGCTTGGGGGGGGGGTTGCGCCTCTGGGTTTGGGGGGGATGGGCACCTCTGTATTGAGCAAAGATTATACTGAAGATTGCTCGATACATTGTAGGCCTAGTATAAAGGCAAGTAAAGGGTGATCCAGTTAGAGGTTACAATTTAAAAATTAAATAATACGTTTTGTAGTTTACTTACAAGGTATTTTTTTACTTATACACATTTATTAAAGATTGACATTACACATGGAAAATAATATCCGTCAAATGACCGCCACGTGAATCCCTGCAGACTTCAGCCCTTTTGATGAAATTTTCCATCACTCTCTCGATCATTTGTTGTGGAATTTGATGGATTACTCTGCGAATCTCGTCATTCAGCTCCAGAATCGAGTTGGGCTTGTTTGCGAAAACCTTCTGCTTCAAATATCCCCAAAGGAAATAGTCCATTGGTGTGAGGTCACATGATCTTGCTGGCCAATGCTGATCACCGAAACGAGAGATTAAACGGCCGGGAAACTTTGTGTGCAACAACTGCACTGTTTCTCGTGCTGTATGACAAGTGGCCCCATCTTGATGAAACCACAAGTCGTTCAACTCGTTATTGACAACCAATTCTTCCAACTGCTGCCAAAAAAAATCGCTTATTATCTCCCGATAAATTTCTCCATTGACTGTAACTGCATCGCCATGGTCATTTTCAAAAAAGTAATCACGCCGCCAACCCACAATCCACACCAAACAGTTACCTTTTTTTGGATGCATTTCTTTCGGGTGAATAGCATGAGGATTTTCAGTTCCCCAAATGCGGCAGTTTTGTTTGTAGCCATTGATATAAAAATGAGCTTCATCAGAAAAGATTATTTTGTTCACAAAATTTTCATCACGTTGAATACTCTCCAACACCCAGTTAACAAATTCAAGCCTCTGTTGGTAATCTCCCGGTTTCAATTCTTGTGTCAATTGGATCTTGTACGCATGCAAATGTAGATCTTTAGTCAAAATGCGCTGGGTTGTACCGTAGGAAAGGAACAATTGCTGGGAACGATGACGAATTGAGGTTGTCGGATTTTCTCGAACACTGGCACTTGTTGCAGCGATATTTTCCACTGATCGGCCACTCCGAGGGCGTACTGGTCTTTTAACATCTAACACTGAACCCGTCACATTAAATTTATCAATCAGTTTTCTAATCGCCGCACGTGATGGACGGTTATGGTTACCAAAATCATTTCGCAGTGCTCGAATCGTGTTAGTAAAGTTTTCCCCATTTTTAAAAAAGGTTTTTACAATTAAAACACGTTCTTTTGTTTATGACGATTAGATTAAGGTATTTCCAATCCTAAAATGCTATGGGAAGGGAGGGAAACAGGTCCGTGACGTAGGAAGTGGTGAAGGAAGTAGTCAAGGTGAGCTGTCCAGAGTGTGGGAACTGTTTATGACGATTAGATTAAGGTATCTGCAATCTCAATGGGAAGGGAGGAAAACAGGTCCGCTTCGTAGGAAGTGGTGAAGGAAGTTGTAAGGCTAGCAGTGCAGAGTGTGGGAACTGTCTGTGGCAATTACATTGATATATCTGCAATCCTAACATGCAATGGGAAGGGAGAGAAAAAGGTCCACGACGTAGGGAGTGCTGAAGGAAGTAGTAAAGGCGAGCAGTGTGCAGTTTGGGAATGGATTTATGTATCTGCAATACTAAGACTGCTTTTAGAGTAAACTAAAGATTTTCCCCGAGCAAAGCTCGGTCCCCAGGTACTTTTCCATTAAATGAACAGTAATGTTCACCATAAGAATCAAGTGGAACATCTGTGGTCCAATTTTGATGAAATTTGGTGTGTATCTGTGATATCCTCATAAATTTGTTGTGATGTATGGAAATTTGGCTTTTAGTGGTGTTTTCCCACAATAACCTATGAAACAATGGAAAAATTGGTTTTTCACACAAATGTCTTGAACGATTTTAATTAAAATGTTGTATGTTATTTATTGTTCTTTTAACTCTAAGCAAAATGGTACAACTACAAATTCTGTAAAATTTACGCTTCAAGATACTAATTGTAACTTTTGTGATTTTGATTTACCCATGACAGTGTAGTTACTCCTACCCATGCATGATAAGGGTTGTTGCCAAGCATTAGCTAAAAGTAAACCGTTTCAGCAATCTGACTTCTCCCATTAGGGAGAAGTCAGATTGCTGAAATGGTTTACTTTCCTTTTTTATAGAATCACCTCACTATTATCACTAACTGGTAACACATTAGACAGGATTTCTCCTGTAAGAGATTGGTCATAAAAAGTCTGGAAAATAGTTGACGTGTACTCAAGGTCATAAATTGAAAGACTTTTCTTTAATGGAATCAATGCTGCAAAGTCGACCTAAAAAGTTGAGTTAACTGCTAGTTCATTTGTGACAAATTCAGTCAAATTGTGAACATGCATTGCCACCATTTGCTGTCAGTGGTAGTGTAAATACCGGCTTTTAACTTGTGTTTACCCTTGCTCCAGAATAACTATTACTATTAACTATGGAATAGCTCAATTTTTTGCGGAATATTGGTATTTTTCAATCAAAATAAAAAAATATATTTAGTAATTTTTGAAACTTTGGGTATTTTTTTATGTTGCGGTTTTTCAATCAAAGCTGTAAGTGAATCTGCACAAGAGATTTTAATTTTGATTCAGAAAAACCTTCCTGCAATGAACTTGAATGAACTCGAAGGTCCGAAAAAACTTCCTATGTCATATACATTTTGATAGTGATATTTGGAATATAAATAAAACATATTTTAATTCACCTTGTTCAATAAATGTACTAACAAACTATATAATATATATATATATATATATATATATATATATATATATAGGCCTACTCATTTGTTCTCTCTACTGTTAGCCTTTCAAACTACACAAGCTTGAGAAGGGGCCATCCACACAAGTGTCCATCAACAGAGAAGATGCCCTCAAGTTCTACAGACAAATGCAGACTATTCGGCGGTTGGAGACCTCAGCTGGCAATTTGTATAAAGAGAAGATTATCAGAGGATTCTGTCACTTGTATGCGGGGCAGGTAAAGTAATCTTGTATACTTGTATTATAGAGAGCATTGATTAAGGAATAGTTATTTTGCAACCAGGGGTGCAAAGTGGCAGCCCAGAGAGAAATATTTGTTAAAGCAGAATGCCTTTGCTTTTTACTTTCTTCCCCTATATGGAAAAGTGCCGGTATTAGTTGTATTTGACAAAATTTTAGAGTTTGAGTTTTAGGTGAAAAAGTGGTTTCTGAAGTGATGTATGTGTGTGTCTGTCCTGTATGTGTGGATGTGTACAGAGCTACAGTTTGTATGTAGGTACATGGTATCTCCAACCAAGTGTCTTTTAATCTTTTGGAAATTTCAATTTGTAATGGTAACTTTCCCATAAAATAACGAAATACCCACAGCAAACCTGCAGACTAAGGTAATATGCATTTACTTGATTGGATTTGCAATAAAGTCTATTTAAACAACATTAGGCTTAACAAGTACCTAGGTTTGCTGCTACAGGGAGGGTAATAAAGGGTGTTTATTTTGCAAAATATTAATAGCTTAGTATGAAAAAAATTCCAAGTTTGATCAAAATATATCCTTACAAACAAACCACATCAGTTAACTTATTCTCCATTACGAATAACTTGGGAATTATAAGTAGGCCTACAACTTTGAATTTTCTCCTTTGCCAATAACCGTAAAAAAAGACTTCAATATACAAAATTATTTGTTTTTGTAAACTCTTTAAAGTGGTTTAAAGATAAATTAGGAAATTTTATTTTTTGAGGGTCAATATTGAGAAAAAAAAACAATTTTTACCCCATTAAACCTGTTCCCATGGGCTGATCATGCTGGTTCGTGAACTCATTCAAGTTTATCCTGTCCTACACCTTCAAGCAAAATTTCATCAAAATCAGACAAAAATTGCTCAGTTATCACGTTCATGGACGTATATATTAAATATACCAACTCAGCACCCTGGAATGAATTTTGATTTAAATCTACATACCTACATATAGGACTATATAAATTTAAACAAATAGTGTTTGTGGCCTCTAGGGACATCAAAATGTAAAAGTATATCGGTCCCAGGCCCAGGTCTTACTGTTCCACCTACAGTAATAGCTACAGTTTGACAGTAGTTCCCTATAGGGAAATTTGCAAAAAATTATCAAATTTCCTCAAAATTAGCCTAAACGATTTTGATTACAATTTAGTACGGTAATGTTATAGTTCACTCTGTACAAGATGAAATTACACCCCCACTGCTGTAAAAATTACAGATCCCAAGTTAATTGCAACTTTTACGATTTTACCCATAAAAAACCCCAAAAAATAAAAATACTCCCGCCGCAGCAAACCTGCCGACTAAGCAAATTTCCATTTGTCTGAATTTATTTTCAATAAAATCTATTTAAATAACATTAGGTTTAACGAGTACCTAGGTTTGCTGCTACTAGGAAAGTAACAAAGTGTATTTTTTGTAAAATATTAATAGCTTAGAATAAAATAAAGATTTGTTATAAATAATAAATAATTTGTCAAGTTAGATAAAAATATAATCATAAACAAGCAAACTACAACATTTTACAATAATCTCCATAAGAATAACATAGGAATTTTAAATTAACAATTTTAGCGAATTTCCCTATAGGGAAGTAGCTATTACTGTAGGTGGCACTGTAAGACCGATTGACTTTTTCATCTTCTTCATGTTCCCAGAGGCCAAAAAAACCATTCGTTCAAATTTTTATATATGTATATACGAGGCATGTTTTTAAGTAAATTTTGTTTTTAAATTTCTCCGTTCCAGCACTGCGATAGGCATTTTGGACATTTGCACTGTGTATGTGCATCTATTGGCAAGCCTGCACCAGAAATTCTGAAAAAATCGGCCTTGTTTACATCCTTTCGAGCATGGGTACTTGGTATGGGTACTGGGTACTGGTGACAGTAATGGACGCCACCCACTGCGTTGCTCATCATGAACGTTAGTGGGGCCATCTTTAAATGCCCTTACCCACTTGTGTACCATTCCGTCACTCATAATGTTCTCGCCATACACTTCACTAATCTTTCATGAATTTAAATGGCCTTCACACCTTAAGGCCCCTTTTATTCACTGCGGTTGCCCGACAGCGGGCACCCGTTGCGGGCGACCGCTGCACCAATGTGTTACCTGCGATCGACCGCTGTCACGTGGATAGTGTAACAGTGCTGCCAACCCTTGTTTTTTAAAACCTTTGTATTTTTAATGTATACTTCTTCAATCTAACCAGTCTAACACAATAGTTGGTTTACAACTGAGAACTGTCATCGATTCACTTCAACGGCTGCTATTTATGCCTGAAATCTAGCTAAAAACCCACTCTAGCTAAAGAAATCCTTTGTAAAAGTTTCGAATAGTGCCAGAGTGGTGTCCAATCTAAATTTTATTTACTGTAGATAATTTCTGACAAAATCTTTCAGTATTTGACACTGGTGACTTGGGTTGGTAGCAATGCGAGAGCGACGGCGGGCTCCCGCGTTGAATAAACGATCCCATAACACAATGCATATACGAACCGCTAGCCGCCGGCGGTTTCTAAGTGCAAGGGGGTGAATTTACAAACCTCCGCGGGTACCCGCAACTTCTGAGACCGCTCCTATTTGAATAAAAGCACCCATTTACGGCAATGCATTTATAAAAAAAGCTGTGAATAAAAGGGGCCTTAGCAGTTAAAAATCTAATTAATTACAGCACACACTTTACAGTCAGCGGCAGTCTCAATTGGCTGCACCATTTTGGTCACCAGCCAGCATGGTCCGATCATGCTGGTTCACAAAGTCATTCAAGTTTATCCTGTCTCACACCCTTAAACCAAATTTCATCAAAATCGGACGAAAATTACTCAAGTTATCACGTTCACGGACATGTATATATACGTGTATATACAAATTTGAACAAATGGTGTTTTTGGCCTCTGAGGACATCAAAATGAAAAAGTAAATCGGTCCCGGGCCTAGGTCCTACCGTGCCACCTATGGTAAAAGATACTCTAAAAATAAATCTGATTTCTGAAAAATAACCGCTAGACCTATTTTTGTTAAAATTTAGTATGGTATGGTCCTTATGATTCTAAATAAAACTACAACAAATATTCATAGTACATGTTGAAAATTGAAGACAATCGTTTGTCCTCTATTGTAAAACTAAGTAAGAAAACAATATAAATTTACCCTTATATTGCACAGAGACACTTATCCAACTTTGAAACACTCCTGGCATTAGTGGGCGTTAAAATAGACTCCATATTTTGCAATAGGATACAAAGTATAGGTTCATTCTTCATAGTCAATTTAAAAGAAATTGTCATACTCAATTCATGGTACAGTTCATAGTAAATTTACATACTCAATTCATAGTACAGTTCATTGCAAATTTATATTTTCAATTTATAAAAGAGAACTTCTAACTTGTCTTGATTTGCGAGTATCTCATCCCTATGAGGCAAATGCTGTTGAATAATCAATTTTTAATGGCCATATTGTTTCTGGTCAACCTAGGAAGCAGTTGCGGTGGGGATGCGAGCGGCTATGCGCAAGGATGACTCGGTCATCTCTGCGTACCGTGTGCACGGCTGGACTTACCTAATGGGTGTATCTGTGTACGGAGTGTTGGCAGAACTGACCGGTCGCAAGTCCGGCTGTGCCCGAGGCAAAGGTGGCTCCATGCACATGTACACTCACAACTTCTATGGTGGCAATGGGATTGTAGGAGCCCAGGTTTGTGGTTATTAATTCTTAATATTATTATAGGGGAGAGTGGGGCTATACCGTACACATAAGGGAGACTCGTAGTTACATCGCAAATTACGAAGTAAAAGTAATGTAAACACAAGCAATATATCATTTAATTATTTGGCTACTGATTGTATATAAACATTTTGGAACTATTGCATTTTTTACATGTAAAAATTGGCATTTAAAAAAAAGTTACCTTGTACGAAATAGCCCTGGGGGTGGGGCCATTCCGTACAGTAGAAGGGGCTATACCGTACAGTTCAAAAATCATTTGTTTAGGTTAGTTATATAATAGTACTACAACAAATTATTGTACAAACACTTTTTATTACTTAATAAAGGTTGTAGTTAAGAAACGGTGTATATTACAATTTAAACATTTTAGAAGAAATTACATTTCAAAAATCAACCTTCATAAAAAACATGAAGTATTATGAAAAAGTTATAAAATTTCATCCCAAAATTAAAAAAAAGAAGAAAAAGTCCACAAATGTAGTTCTCTGCAAACTCCGCAGCACTGCAAGCTGAATGGACCCACCCTGAACATGAGCAGCACCCTGTATCAGAGCTGTACGGTTTAGCCCGAAAATTAGAAGCAAGTGAGTACAAACATGTTTTTTTACTGAAACATTTAAACTAGCTCACATAGCAAAACGATGCAGATACTGTAAGCTTGCAGATTGTGCTGCTATCTAGCAGCACTTGTCGGGATCACATAGCTTGAATTCTAGGCCAAAAAAGTAAGTGTACGGTTTAGCCCCGCTCTCCCCTACCCTAATTTTTTGTTTTTAAGTTAATAAAAATGTGGTTAATGTTGCACTGAAAAGAAAACCTGTATTGAAGAAGTATTTCATTTCAACAAAGCTATACAGTAGACACCCTCTTAACCAACCCTAATGGGACCGGACTGGGGTCGGATAACTCAAAAGGTTGGTTAAAACGGGTAATCCCTACAAACTTAAATAAAGTACCTACTATTTATTTGGAATTATATAATCATTATAATCATTATTCTGTAGTGGTTCATGCATTATTTACAAAATAAAACTACACTTATCTCCTTTTTTCTTAATTATTGATTATAGAAAAAGTCAAAAATAAATTGATGGTGGAATGGCCTCTGGATCATCTGAATTAACTATATAGTGGTTTAAATTACCTTGTTACTGTCAAAACGATCCCTTTGTAGTTAGTAGACTACAGCTGTTTCATGCTACGAATGGAGCACATCATCAGGTCAGAAGAATGTCAAGTAGTCTTCATATTCCTCGCAGTGGAGTTCGTCAAAAGTTTAATAATAAATAGACAACAAAACACATAACACACGGAAACACGAAACATTTAGTATTGGTCGACCAGACGGTGGTAACAACACACGTGGTACGGCACCGGTTGAGGGCAATCGAATGACCACTAATAACACTTGTTTTTATTCCATTGATATGTAGGCCTACTTCCACTAACCTCAAAGTGCATTTCACACTACAAACATACAATTTAGTCGAATTTTAGATGATTGTTAAACACACATACCATTGAAAGCAATAATAAAAACTAAATCACTTGCTGTTTTACCATAATTGAATCACGAAATGTTACTCCGATGTGCGGGAATGTTACAGTACTCATCACGATTACTACTCTAGTAGGTAATCGTGGTACACATGAACTGGTGGAATGAGTATTATCCAAATCTGACTAGATTTATGTAGATTACTTTTATGGATTATGTTACATTATAAGTCAATACATGTGATAATAAAAAGCATGCCCATACGATGCTTATGATGGTTTCTATATGTGGTAACAGTTAGACCTGCTCCTTACCCAGCTACCGATTTAACAGATTCAAAATATATCCATAAACAAACAAACTACAACATTTTCAATATTCTCCATAAGAATAACATGGGAATTTTTCATTTACAATTTTTTGAATTTTCTCCGTTACCAATAACCGTACAAAAACACTTTGATATACTAAATTATTTGTTTTTTTAAGCTCTTTAATATGGTCTAGAGATAAATTGCGAAATTTTGTGTTTCAGGGGTCAGAAATGAGAAAAACCAATTTTTACCCCGTAAAACCCCGTTCTCATGGTCCGATCATGCTGGTTCGCGAACTCATTCAAGTTTATCCCGCCTTACACCTTTAAACCAAATTTCATCAAAATCGGACAAAAATTACTCAAGTTATCGTGCGGATGGACACATATATAATATATATCTCTATATATAGATATATAAAAATTTGAACGAATGGTGTTTTTGGCCTCTGGGGACATCAAAATGAAAAAGTAAATCGGTCCCGGGCCTAGGTCTTACCATGAGACCTACGGTAATAGCTACTTCCCTATAGGGAAATTCGCTAAAAATAAACTTGTACTCGTATAATGTCATGTTTTTTTTTTTTATTATTGAGGCTTGTGGTTTTAATATCAAAGGAATACCGCAACATTACAACACATTCAAGCATGCTTGATTTACAAAAACACCCTGGTGCCAATGTGCATGCTAAACAGAAATTGTCCTAAATCGGACCATGATTTTGAACCAGAGAACTTATTGTATCTAAGAAGTGTTTAAGAACTAGCACCCAACACGACTGCATTATACCTGCCCAGCAAGCAACAGTTAACCTACACAAAGTACACTACCCAACTAACGATGCCGTCGGCGTCCCGTCACTGCTACCGCCTGAAGAGTTGGTTCTCAGTGTTCTAATTTTTTTCTACGCCAGTGGCATTTTACAAGGGGTCAATGTGAGAATAAAGTTTTTGTGCAACTTTTTTGTGGTTGTCAGCGGTTGTGCCGGGAATTAAATCCGCCCCTTCCGCATCTAAGTCTGAGACACTACCGTTTTGTTGTTTTTTTGTGGCTAGCAACATACCAATTGGGTAGTGTTATTCTTAAATATGATATCAGGTGCTCTAAATATGAATGATTTAATATTGAAATCTAAAAATTTTTCTATGATTATCATTGAGTTACATTACTGTAATAACAAATTCCTATCGCTGAACTCAGATAAATTAATATTCAACTACCCTTCAAGCTTGGACTTTGATACAACTTCTTTTCTTTATCCAATACCCAATTCAAGTTTTCAACCATCTAGGTTAAAATTAATGTTAACATTAAATGCTGAAAAATTAAATAAGAAGAATGCGGCCGAACGTCAGCATCGGACACTGCCGTTGCCGTAGGCTGAAAGCGTCCGTCGTCTGCCGATCTTCCCTACTTTTCATAACGTAGTAACATACAAAAAATAGTCAGACTCGAACGATCCCGAGGTTTGGGTTAGAGTTTGTAATTAATTAGTCCATTCGTTCGCCACAAGTGTAAAGACTACAATGAATTCAATTTAGTAGAACGATTTGCAATAAAAAATATTAAAGTTCCCCTGGTATAATAGTTTAGTAAGATATTATTAAAGTGTAGTATTTTAAACTTAGTTTATGTTATGATGACGATTAATTATAAAAGCTGATTGCTAACATTAATACTTGCAGAAATATTTTTTTATTCTCTCACAAAGTCAAAATCCCGGACATTTGAAAGTATTGCCAAAAATCCCCCCGGACGTTTTTTTTTGTACCCAAAAAGAGGACGTGTCCGGGAAAAAGAGGACGTCTGGGATCCCTACAATCGAAGCATGAAACAGCTGTAGTCTTACTAACTACAAAGGATCGTTTTGACATTAACAAGGTAATTTAAACCACTATATAGTCAAAAACAAACCCATAACACGGTAAAGTCAAATACTTTCAGTGGAAAAAATTATAGTCTTTAGCAAGTCAATAAAATTCTTACCTTTATAATATTAATTGATGCTTTAAAAATGGCATCATGGCCATCATAATACATTACAGACCTTAATGTTGAAATTAAATATTTAATACTCTCCAAAAAGGCAGGTTAAAACAAACTGTAATATTTTACGAGCAAGAGCGGATAATCCAATTATCCGATAATGCAAGGCCGGTCTACTGTATGCTAGCTGGCCCAGGAAATGTTGTTTTTTCATAAAAACTATTTTAGTGAATATTTCAATAGTCGAATGAAAATTAATTGACTTATTGCAATTTAGACGGGAAGATTTAGCCCAAAAAAGCCTCCATGATAGAACAAATTCCAACAAAAGTTTTTTTTTTAATGGTTTTGGTAGTAATAGGTGTAGTAAGTACGTGGAAAAAAGTCTACCAAAATTGGACAACTGGAAGTCGGGTTTTTCCAAGATGGCCGCTGTGAGGCCCTCAAATCTACAAGATGACTGCAAATACGTCGATTTATAGATCAGGATTGGCCAATTTCCACGAAAATTGGTAAAGACGTCATGTAGAAATATATTTTCAACCTTGAATATGAAAACCAGGCAGACAACGTAACCCAAAGATGGATTTTCGGGGTGTTCTGTGATAAAAAAATAAGGTTTTGTACCTAAAATATTTTTTACAAAATTTATTATAATTTCAAATTTATTTTTTCACCATTAGATTCGGCACAAAAAAAAAACAAAAACAATTTAGTATATTGAGTCTTTGTTCTGTTCTAATTTGTTACAGATATATTGATATATTGAAAGTAATAACTAGAGTAGGTTTACTTGCCAAGATAAACTAACTCTATGTTAATCTTATGGAGGATAATCATAAATTTTTATATTAATTTTCAGTAAACCTAAATGGATAAGACTTTGTGTTCTGCCTCATATCATCTGTTTTAATATTTTTTTACAAAAAAATTTCTTTTTTGGCAGCTACCGTTGCAGTAAACCTACGTATTCGGTTCCTCAATCTTAATTATAAAGAGAATAAGCAAAAATCAATTTATTATTAGTCCGAGAAATATAGAATATAACCTTAAAAACATTGCAAGAAAACGTTTAATGGTTTTATGTTGTAGTGTTGGGTGTGCAGAGCCGGATTTTCCAAACATTGGAAAAATTTTGAAAAAAGGTACCATATGCATTTTCTATGCAC